TAATTTTTAAAACTACGTATGTTACATTTTAATCGGTATAAATTTTAAACTCAGGTACGTTAATTTTGAATTAACAGCTATTTAAGAGCAACGTACAACACAAATTATTGATATATGTATTTTTTTAACGCCTATTTTTTACATTATTTCTACTTTGCAATTGAGTAGTTTATGCAGTATTTTTTTATATTAGTATACTGTATAAATATAAATTCCCTAAGTCATATAAAGGTAAAAATTAATATCATATATTTATTTAATTTTAGTTATTATTCTCTGTTTTTTTTTTTTTTTTTAATATTGCGGCTTAAAATTTGTATATTTACACTCAATATGATATTAGTTCCAAGACTCAAAATAATTCTTTAAGATCCTGAAATATGCATAATTTTACTAATAAAGATGCCAAAGTTTACCAGCAAAAAGAGTGAACTCAATTGAAGATTGAACCCATGCACTACATTCCAATTTAGTAGAATTTCTGTAGAAAATTTCAAATGTAAATTATAGTCTATTTCCTGTTGAAATCCATTTGAATTATACTCATCAATCTTTTTTGAATCATTCAAGAGCTGTGAAATAATATCAAGATCAAATTGGTTAATTGACTATGTTGCTATAAATACTGTATATTATGAAAACTCTGAATTATATTGTAGAATCCTTCAAATTATATTGTAGAATCCTTCAAATTCTATCATCGAGCAAAATAAAGTTTAAATGCGATTTAATAAATTTTTATGATTATGTATATATTGAATCTTTAAACGTATAACTATTTGACAATGGAATTTGTTAATTTTTTTTATGAATCTGGAATATTTCATATTCCTCTACTGAAAAGAATGAACATTTCCCAACATATGTAGATTTCTTTCTAATTAGTTTTTCATAATTTTCGTGTTGGTAGCAAAAACATCTATTATTACGGTCAGAATCATGCATAAAAAGACTACCATAAAATATTAATCCTTTGCCAAAATCATTAAAAATTGCGTATTCTGAATTCTTCACACGACTTAAAATAGAATTTTGGACAATACCATTCTTCAATGAAAAAGTAAAGCAATCTTTGCAACTTTTAGAACCTTTTGTTGATTTATCCCATCCAATTGGATTATATCCACCAAGAATTTCATCAGTGTCTTTAACTTTTATGACAACAACCAAATTTTTCTGCTTGTCACATAAATTCCAAAATGACTCACGAGTAAATCCATCTCTGCTTCCACGAAGAAGTAATTTGAATTCATATGGAATATTTGATATTGAATACGTATTTGTATTTCTATCAATCCATGAAGCAATTTCAGCTGCATGTGCTTCATTAATAACATTCGAAAATGGTTCTGTTGATCTCAGT